GGGATCCCCTGGCTTCCCAGCAGCCCAACTTGGTTCACTAGGAGGGACCCTGGAACCCAGCCAGCTGGAATTCACCCCAGACCTGGGAGTGCTTCTCACCTGGGTGTCTCATCATAGATGAAAGCTCCAGGGCCCATGGTGCGAGACCGCCCTCCCCCACCAGATGCTCACACAGTCCTGCAGAGCTCTTCACATCTGTAAAAGTGAGATACGGCAGCAGCAGTTGGTAAAGCCGCTGACCCTTCCTGCTGACCTGGGCACAGGTTTGGGGGGTGATGGGGAGACTGCTGACATAGTCCAGGCCCAACTGAGGGACAGTGGTGGGAGAGTTTGCATGGTTCTGGTCACTTCTGTGTAGATTCCAGCTGATGCTGGACCCCTAGGCATAGGCCGGCTTTCAGTTAATGTCCGCTGGGATGACTATCCCCAGGGTCTGGTAAGAGTGGGGCTGAGCCCACCTTATGGGCAGTGATGTGAGCCCATCTTCCGTCCTCTGGCCCTGTGAGTGTGTGCGCAGGAGAAACCAAACCTGTCGGTCACGGAGCCAGAAGCGAGTCTGCGGAAAACCTATACGTCACCCTGAGTGTTGCGTTGTGAGCGGGAGATTCAGTGCTTTTCACATCCAGTCCAAACGAAAGGTCTCTTCTTCCAGGAACTGACTTGATAATGCAAGGCCTATCTCTACAAATAGCTGAGACCACTGTGCACCACTCCATTTTGTCCCTTTCTTGGTGGGTGGGAATCATGGCAAATCCTTAGCTGGATTCTGAGGTTTGCAGAGCCTAGTATACAAAGAGCCAGAACACAGGTATCTGTGTGAACAAACGTGTTTTCTTGAATCTTGAATTGTGGTGCTGGAGAAGACTCTTGAGAGTCCCTTGGACAGCAAGAAGATGAAAGCAGTCAATCCTAAAGGAAATCGACTCTGAATATTCACTGGAAAGACTGATGCTAATGCTGAATCTCCAATACCTTGACCACCTGATGTAAAGAACTGACCCACTGGAAAAGACCTTGATACTGGGAAAGATTGAAAGCAAAAGAAGAAAGGGGCAACAGAGGATGAGATGGTTGGATGGCATCCCCGACTCAATGGACATGAGTTTGAGCAAACTCTGGGAGATAGTGGAGGATAGGGAAGCCCTGCATGCTGCAGTCCATGGGGTCGCAAAGAGTTGGACATGACTTAGCAAATGAACAACAACAACAACTGAATCTCAAGGTACCTCATCACAGGGACCATGAGATGCCCCAGTATAGGACAATGGTCTGAGGACACCAGGACGGAACCTCTACACAGATCTGTTGAGAACTGCGTGCATTATGTGTGAGACAAGCTTGCTTACAGAACCATGCAGCTCAGGACACGGTAGTGACATGCTGAAAGACTCATTTGAGCCATCATTGTTGTTTAGTCGCTTAGTCGTGTACCGCTCTTTTATGACACCATGGACTGTAGCCTGCCAGGCTCCTCTGTCCATGGTATTTCCCAGGCAAGGATACTGGAGTGGGTTGCTGTTTCCTTCTCCAGGGGATCTTCCTCACCCGGGGATCAAACCCGCAACTCCTGCTTGGTAGGTGGATTCTTTAACACTGAGACACCAGGGAAGCCCATTTGAGTTGTTAGGATGATGCCAATCAAATCACAGCGAGAAATCACAATAGAAAAAGATGTAAAGAAAAAAAATTCACTTGCACTGCTTTCATATTTGTCTAAATTTCACACTGTCTGTATCTTTCAGAGTTACTGATGATTTCAAAAATAAACATGACACAAAGGACTATCGTAGTGGAAACCTAAAACATAAGCCAAATGCATGCAGGTGGATGAAATGTCAAAATGGTAAGGCCCCCTTCTTCTTTTTTTAAAGTCAGTTCATTGGTTGACTCTCTGGCCGCCCTGGGCCTGCGCTGCTGCAGTGGACATTCTCTGGTTGCCCTGCATGGGCTTCCCATGGCGGTGGCTGCTCTTGCTGCAGAGCACAGAGCCTGGGCTCAGAAGTTGTACACAGGCGCAGTGGCCTCATGGCAGGTGGGATCTTATTTCCCGGACCAGGGATCGATCCTGTGTCCCATGTGCTAGCAGGCAGGTTCTTATTCACTGTGTCACCAGGGGAGTCTACACACTTAGTTAAATGATCTGTCACCAGGGTTAAGTTTCTCCATAATTTTGAACGAGGGCTGACTATTTTCATTTTGCACAGGGCCCTGCAAATGCTCTGTCTGGACCAGGTAGGGGGTGCCAACCATCTAGACCTGACCGGGACCTCCCCAAAACCGCGCTGTCAGCCCCCGTGTGGGGGTTGTTCTAGAACATGGTCTCCTGGCAAAGCTGAGCTCTTTGTGTGGTTCATGAGTTTCACCTCCCTCCCGACCCCAACCACTTTCCTTGAATCTATTTGTAAAATGAATTAACTTCAATACAGGAGGAGCAGGAAGGTTCTTTATCTCCACTTGGGCAAATCCATTAGGATTAGCAGCCCCTCTGAAGCCCCTTGGAGCGGGTGACGTCAGCTTGTCTTTGGTGATTTGCAGAGTGGCCGTGTGATAAGGAATCCGGGCCCATTTTCTCAACGACAGGGCATCCTTCCGTGGGGGTGCCCAGGAATTAGCGGTCCTATCTCTCCATTTATCAGGGCCCTCTGGGGGATGCGAGAGCCGGGTGGAGAAGTGCAGTTGCCTCGCTGGCTCCCATTTGCAGAGGCTGCAGCCCCTGCCGGTTTGCCTGGGTCCCTGGGCTCCCCACCCCCCCCCAGGGTCTGAAGGCTGTGTGGACGGTCGGGGAGGACCAGGACATGGAAGGCACTTCAGAGGGTGTCTAGGGGCGAGAGGAGTTTGTTTGTTTGGCCAATTGTCGTTGTCATTGTTGTTCAGTCACTCAGTCGTGTCCGACTCTTTGCGACCCCGTGGACTGTAGCCCGCCAGACTCCTCTGTCCACGGAATCCTCCAGGTAAGAATACTGGAGCGGGTTGCCATTTCCTTCTGCAGGGGATCTTCCCCACCCAGGGGTGGAAGCTGAGTCTGCTGTGTCTCCTGCATTGGCAGGCAGATTCTGTGCCCCTAGTGCCGCCTGGGAAGCCCTGTGAGGAAGCTCAAGTAGTGCAGAGGCCCATGTGTTCTGACCAAAGGTCCCCGAGGCCCCAGCCAACACCCGCCTTCACCCCCAGCCTTCCGTGGCCCAACTGAGACCACAGCTGCCATGGAGCACAGATAAAGTGTCCCCACCATGCCCGTCTGCATCCCTGACCCCCAGGAGCCACGAGAGATGGTGTGTGTGCAAGTCACTCAGTCGTGTCTGACTCTTTGTGACCCCACGGACTGTAGCCTGCCAGGCTCCTCTGTCCATGTAATTCTCCAGGCAAGACTACTGGAGTGGGTTGCCCTTCCTTTCTCCAGGGAAGTGAGGAGTGGTGATGACTGGAATAGATGGAATTCACCTGGGGGAGGAACCGTTCAGGTAAAGGGACACCTGTCAGAGTCATACTGGCCGTCGTGGGTCCCTCATTTTCCTCCCCCAGGGGGACGGGCTAGCAGAAGGAACCTTGGGGGCAGGAGCCAGGGCCCCTCTGGGACTTGCCATGGAGGGCCTGCCCTCTGCTCCTCACCTCCCACGTGGTGTGTGGGGGGCACCCAGAGTGGTTTCCTGGTGAGACCCTTGCTGACCAGGTGGGCCTGTACAGACCTGGGGTTTAACAAGAAAGAGCCATCTTCCCTCAGATCTGTGAGTCAAGTGATCTGAAATCAGCTTTGTCGGGGATGATGGCAACGCTTCGGTGCTTTGTCTGCAGAGCTCACTCACAACTGAAAAAGATTCAGAACTTCTGCAGGGGGAGTCCTGGGCCCCGCTGAACTGCTCCTTCCTGCCCCCACCCCCACAGATATGTCCGAGTACCTGAGAACGCGACCTGATTGGGGAAAAGGGTCTTTGCAGGTGTGATTAAGTGAAGGATTTGAGACGTGCTATTCTTGCCTGGAAACTTCCATGGAGAGAGCATCCTGGCAGGTTACAGTCCATGGGATCGCAGAGTCGGGCACAACGGAACAACGTGAGCATTCTGGGACTATCCGGGTGGGCCCTAAATCCAGGGACAAGTGTCCTTATCAGAGGAGTTGTTGTGTTTAGTCACTCAGTTATGGCAGATTCTCTGCGACCCCATGGACTGCAGCACTCCAGGCTTCCCTGCCCTTCACTATCTCCCGGAGTTCAGTCAAACTCATGTCCACTGAGTCAGTGATGCCATCCAACCGTCTCATCCTCTGCCGCGTCCTTCCCCTCCTGTCCTCAATCTTTCCCAGCATCACGGGAATCATTCCGGCATCATGGGTCTTTCCCAATGAGCCGGCTCTTCGCATCAGGCAGCCAAAGTACTGGAGCTTCAGCCTCAGCACCAGAGGAGGAGAGCATACGTCACAGGGGAGAAGACCACCTTGTGTCTATGGAGGCAGACATTGGGATGATGAGGCCACAAGCTGGGGACACCTGGAGCCTCAGAAGCTGGAAGAGGTGGGAAGAGCGGTCCCTGGGGCCTTTGGCGGGAGCCAGCCCTGCCCACACCCCGACCTCAGACTCTGCCCTCCAGCCTGGGAGAAAATGATCTTCTGCTGTTTCAGGCCCGCGGTCAGTTGCTGGGCTCTCCTCCCCTCCCCTAGAAGCCCCGCCAGCTGAGAAGGTATTTGAGGGGAGAGTGTGATCCAGGGGAGAAGCTGAGGATGAGGAGGGTCACCAGCATCGACATGGTGACTCCGGGAGGGAGGAGCCCACGTTGGAAGAAGGGCGGAGAAGATGGAGCTGGGGGTGCTGGAGGCATCATGGGCCCCTCCAAGAGCTGGGAGAGCCAGGAAACAGATATCCCCCCTGGAGCCTCCAGAGGACCCGCCCCACCGATGCCTTGCTTTCAGCCCAGCGAGACCCACGTCAGACTTCCGCCCCATGGAACTGTAGATAATAAACGTGTGTTATTTTATGTAGCAATTTGTTAAAGCAACTGCAGCAGGAAGCTTAACGCAGAGTTTGTGAACTCTTGGCCATGGTCCAGTCGAAGATGTTAGCACAGGGTGGTGGGGGGCGTTTGACGGAGATGCGTCCCGTGTAGACGAGCAGACCTGGGGTCCAGGACCCAAATGGCAGTCATTTAATCATAACATCATCACTGTCACCATCAGCAAAAGAGTCCTTGCAGAGAGGACGGTCCTCAGGAGGTCCAGGGAGGCTGGTCCATCAGGATGGAGAGTTTCCATGGCCGCCCTCAAGCTGCTGTTTCCCGTGATGTGAAGGGCAGGGGGGTGGAGCCTGGAGGCAACGGCAGAACTTAGAGACCAAAGTCCACGGGGGCTGGGGGCATCTCGGCGGAGGACGAACCTGTCCCCTCCTCTGGATTCTCCCTCTTGCTTTCTCTGCCTCCAGGGGAGGGGGGCACTGGTGAAGCAGACACTGCCGACAAGCAGCGTGAGACTGTAGGAGCCCACTGCCTGGCGTTGAGTCCTGGCACCAGCACCCATTATTTGGGTAATCCTGATTAATCCAGCTGTCTGTGCCTCAGTGTTCCCGTCTGTATAATGGACACCATAGCATATACCTGGCGGGGGCTGTGAGTTAGCGCGTGGCGGGGCCTCTGAGCAGGCACAGGCACGAGATGAGCTTGGTGGCACGGGCTGACCTCAGTGCTCTGTGGCTGGCCCCAGGAAAGGAGGCGGCCTCCGAACTTGGGTTGGGGGAAGTGCGGAGCTCAAAAGTCAGGAGACAGGACTCCACAGGCCCATGCCCCAACCAGTGAGGTCCTCCTCTGGCTCCAAGTCCTTGAGTTCTGCCCAGGTGGACAGAAGGTTGCAGGCCGGTGACAGTGGCTGCCCGCTGCTGTGATCAGAAGCCGCCCTCTGGTCTGACACTGACACCGAGGAGTCAGTGGCCCCCACCGCCGTAGAACGTGACACCAGAAGTCAGAGATGTCCCGGGAGGTGGTGATGCTCCCAGCATGGGCTGGGTGTAGGGAGGCATGTGGGAGGACTCCCCATCCTGCTTAGCACCCGGCTCATAGTAGGTGCTCATTAAATGCCTGTGGGAGGGATGGGGTGTGGACAAGGGGAGTGTGTATCTATAGGTAACTTGGGGGCTTCCCTCCTAGCTCAGTTGGTAAAGAATCCACCTGCAATGCAGGAGACCCCAGTTCGATTCCTGGGTCGGGAAGATCCTCTGGAGAAGGGATAGGCTACCCACTCCAGTATTCTTGGGCTTCCGTTGTGGCTCAGCTGGTCTGCCTGCAATGCAGGAGACCTGGGTTTGATCCCTGGGTTGGGAAGATCCCCTGGAGAAGGAAATGGCGACCCACTCTAGCATTCTGGCCTGGAGAATTCCATGGACTGTATGGTCTGTGGAGTTGCAAGAGTTGGACATGACTGAGTGACTTTCACTTTCACTGTGTTCCCCCCAGCCCTTCCAGGGGCTTTGGAAGTGGCGGCTCGAGCCCAGAAGGTGAGTATTCTCCTGGCTTTTGTGGGAGGCGCCCAGCAAACCCAATACGAGAACTTTCACTGTTGCTACGGTTAAGTTTGCAATCTTGCAAATTTACAGTAGCTTGAAAACATAAATGAAAGAATAATAATTAAATCAGTGTATCATAAAAACTTTTCATTGAATGGAGTCTTTTATAGAAAACCCCCTTAAAAGCAGATAAGAATTGGGGTACTCTGGCTGAGTTGGGGGCGCACACAGCGGACACAGAGGGCTTGGAACCGGGTTCTCAGTTGAGCCTCAACCCTGACACGTGACCCTGGGAAGGCTGTGAGTGCCTTCCGGAGACTCAGTTTCTTCATCGGCCCAGGAACGCGGCATGATGCTCGTAGCCGCGGCCTTGCTCTGGGGTGGGGGCAGGAGGGTTTTAGGGGTGGGGTGGGGGTTGATGGCAGCACCTGAGACCAGAACACCAGGGGGAGGGGGCTGGTTCCTGGGTGGTGGCCACACAGGGGCCTGCTTCCTCCTGGGAACGCGGGCTCATGCTGTCTCCTGTCTCCATCTGGAAATCGCCCATGCTGTTCCCTGCAGGCTGGAACCTCCTCTGCCACGTGTGGGGTGCAGAGGACTCCATGGTGCCCTGTTGGGCGCAGCCTGGCCACCCAGGAATGAGCTGCTGTCATGGCCACACCTCTGTCTCGGGATCTCTGCCACCCCCTCAGCAGGGTTTCAGGGTCTGCCGCTGAGCAGAGCCCGGATCTGACTGCTGGCATCATCACTCTCACTTCACTCGCTGAGCTGCAGTCTTCACATCTGTAAAATGGGGGTGCACCTCAGGGAGGACCTGGCCAGTGGTCATCCCTCGGCTAATGGGGTCAGGGAGGCCTTGCGGGTGGAGAAGCAGCCCCGCAAGGGGCTGGCTGGTGGCAGTGTGTGGGCCTGCTCTGAGGTCAGCCAGGCTCTCAGGACAGCAGGGGTGCAAGGCAAGAGAGAAGAAGCTGGAGCGCGGTCAGGGGTTTGGAAGACCGGGCTGAACAGGTTTAAACTTTAGGGACTTCCTTGGTGGTCCAGAGGCTAAGACTCTGCACTCCCAATGCAGGGACCTGGGTTCAATCCCTGGTCAGGGAAATAGACCCCACATACTGCAACTTAAGATCCCACATGCTGCAGCTAAGACCTGGTGTAGACAAATAAATAAATGAATGACTATTGAAAAAGAAAAAGATGTTTACACTTCAAATTGTTGCACAGAAGAGCTGGCTGTGCAGCCAAATAAAATGTCAAACAGAGAGGGCAAGCAACTTGGCCAATGTCACACAGCACTTTGGTGGCAAACTGGGACAAGAACAGTCTTCCTGCTCCTCAGCCCTGTGCTGTCTCCCTGAAGCTGATGGGCTGGCCACCCCAACAGCTTCAGGCCTGAGGTGCAGCCTTGGAGCTGAGAATCCCAGGCGGGGAGTGCAGCCCATAGCACCCTTGGCCTGTGTCTGGATGGGGGGCAGGAGTGGTCAACATTTCTGACTTATCTTAATTTGTCTTGAAATCAGGTACAAGTCCTTTGTAAAACAGGAAGTGGTCTCTTTGGGCCTGACATGAAATAGTATTGCTGTCACCTTGCATTAATGAGCCAGACGGATCTCAGAGGAGTGGCATATTGATGTGGCTGGTGGGGTCAGCCCAGCCCAGGGAAGCCTTTGATAGCGCAGCTGATAACAGATCCGGCTATAAATACCCAGAATCAATCAGTGGCCGCTGCTGACAGCCAACGTGTTCACATATCATGGCAGATGGGAAGAAGGCAGGAACGGCCATTTGTCTTGCTTTTCAGATGGATTTCCTGTTTTTTAGGGAGCGAGAGAGGGCCCATCTGGCGATCAGATCGTGGGCTGAGATAGCCGCTTCTGGGTCACTGGCCCCGGACTCGACGTGTCTCCCCGGCCACGTGGTCCCGGCATTGCGGCGGCCCCTGCAGCCCGGCCTCCACAAATGGTAGCCATCAAGAGCCCTCCTGCCCGTGGAAGCTTCCGGAAGTGGAGGATGGGTTGGGGGGCGCCTGCCTTTCATCCTCCTTCTGCTTCCTTTCTGGGCACCTGGCTTTGCTCATAGTCATTTCATTAGGCCTTTTCCTTCGAAGGCTCTTCCCAGCTTGTACATGTATATGCACATGTCCATGTGCACTTGCACACGTGTGTGTACACACACGCGCTCTATGGCCATCTTCCCCGGCTGACCCAGGGCACTTCCTGTTTGGCCGGCTGTCTGTATGCTGTCCTGCATGCCTCACTCAGGTAGAGGCTGTGGAGTCTGCTGCTGCTGAAGAGCTGGCGGGGGGCGGGGCGGCTTCTATTTTCCATCTGGATCCAGCCTTCCCACCTGCCAGCTTTGGTCTTTGTGGTTCACTCAACGCCCGGAAGTTCAGTTTCCCTGGCTGCATCCTAGTATGCTGCCTCGGTCCTCGCCCAGCCACAGAAAGCACTCAGCGAGAGCTCCGTGTGCCGTGAGCCCAGCGAGTTGTTGTTTGTTCTGATGGTGGTGCTGGAACCAACGTCCACTCCTGGAGTCCTGTTCCCAACACGGTAAACAGCTCTTGGAGGGGTGCCTTGGGGCTGGAGGGTCCCCACTCTCCTTGTTCTTCCTGGGGTGATGCTGTCATTGACCCGAGTCCACCCGGAGCCCCAGCTATTCACGGAGTGTGCCCTGGGGGCTGGGACCCATGACCCCTCTTCCTTTCCAGGGAACGGGTGAGGAGATGCTTCTGCTGTGATCATGTCTTGGATGTACCCCCTCCCTCAGCTTATGAAATCTCCTGTCCCCCAAATTACATCCAGACAGCCGCGGTAGCAGGCTTCTCTCCCTTCCAGCTCAGGGGCCCACCAGCCGGCCAAATGGGGCGTTTAATTGGAAAGAAAAGCTGGCAGTCTGCCCGGAAATCCTAAAGAAAGGCAGCAGAGTGGACCAGCTTTTAAAACCTCGCCACACACCTTCCCTGGGTATTTCTGTATCAAATACTTGAAGGGGTTCTTGGGACTGTTTGAGAATTAAAAGCACCAGTCTGAAGCCATGCAAGGCAGACCCCAGGCCCTGGGGTGGAGGATGGGAGCGCTGAGTGGCGGGAGAAACTGACCGCTTTGTACAGATGGGGACACGGACACAGTTCAGGGGTGGGGAGGAAAACTCAGTTCAGCTCAGGTCTTCGGATGTTAACTGGGGTTCTTGCTGTGAGACCACGCTGAGTGCTTTCTTACCCCCAAATTCCTCCTCGCAGATTTTGACGTCATGGTGTCTTGATGGATGTTAGCCAGAACTCCTCCCAATATTCCTGGTCCTGTTGGATGATTTCTGAGTCCACAGGATGTGAGCAGGGCAGTGTGGAGGGCATGAAGGGGCAGTGGCTGATGGAAACTCGCTTCTAAAGGCCCCGCAGGTTTATCTCCCAAGCAGGTGGGGAGTCTCTCCCTTCAGAAGGAAATCGGGGTCCATCAGGGCTGGAGTTGGACTATGGAAAGTGGAGCGTGAAGACGAGGGAAGGGGTACGCAGGGTCAGCGGGTCAGCAGGGCCAGACCCTGAGCCCCCAGGTGGTCAGCTGACTGCTCTCCCCTGAGACCGTGGTGGCTGAGACCCCCTCACCAGGGATGTATGGCCAAGAACTCAAGC